AGTGTTGGCTGTAGCTTCCGAGTTCATTCGCAGGAGGGTAGGCATATCGATAGTTTCTCCTCTGCTCCTCTTGCTTTCCTTTCATAGTCTCGTCCTTCCATCTGTTCATCACCATCCCTATGTTGCCTCGTATTGTTTCTTCTGTATATCCGTCCTCAAGAAACATTTGAGTTTGTTTCCCATTTCCTCTTCCGAGAACTCAGAATCAGTCAGTCGTAAGCTTCTCATGATCATACTCCTGACTATTCCAATCTTCATCCCATAATTATGGTTCGACTTAACGTTATGAGTTAGTCCAGCATGTGATTTATTTCTGAAATGTTTATTTCTTGAGAGTTTCCTCGGAGCGAATGACCACATCCAATAACGGTAAGTATCCATTCTCTTCCACATCCATGATCAATTTGACTTTTTCATCCATTTCGCTTATGAAGATGAAGAAATCGTCTCATTTTTCTCTTCCATGCGACCAAATTGCAAAGAACTCATCCAAATATCGCATAATTACTGTTGGCTGCTGGGGTGGAATTTTCACATTCTCCTCCTACTTTTCTATGAATGCATTAGCCAACCGAGGCGAGATTCGAGAGCCCTTAGGCACCCAAATATTTGCTCATAGATGCGGCCGCTGAATATGGAATAGGTCGTTCTTATTGTTAGGTTGATTAATCGGGTTAGGGTTGCATCGGGTTGCATACTTTCATATGAATTAGTTCATTGTCCATTTGTCGATCTATTTGTCGTTCCTATTTATTTCTTGCAGTGACCCCCGGATTTTACCTATTGACCCTTTTGTTGGTAGTCGATGCTTTGTCGTGTCCCCGAGAATATTTGCCATTTTTTCTGTATATTCCTTCCTGTCCATCGCCACTGTGGCGCCTCCTTTGTCTGTTTGTATGACTATTTTATCATTTCTGCTTAATTCTCTACTCATTCGTTCTGTCTCCACAATGTCATCTTCTTTTTCCAAGATCTCCAGTAGTGCGATGAGTGCTTTTCATGCTGTGATGTTTCTGTGCATGGACTGTACATCAAAGCTCACCAAAAGTTCGTTTCCTTCCAACCTTGGGCCTTTGATTCGTTGGCCAAATTCGTATCACTTCTTCACTCTATTCGATAATCTGTCATTCACCTGCTTTACTTTGAGGCAGATAACTTTCGCCAATTTATGTGTCGGTCCATGTCTATTCTTGCTTGTCAGTCTCAATGGTTCTGCTTCTTTGTGTACTTTTGACAAAACTTATACTACTGATGCTCTTGCATACTTTCGTATAAATGAGTTCATTGTCCATTTGTCGATCTATTTGTCGTTCCTATTCATTTCTTGCAGTGACCTCCGGATTTTACCTATTGACCCTTTTGTTGGTAGTCGATGCTTTGTCGTGTCCCCGAGAATATTTCCCATTTTTTCTGTATATTCCTTCCTGTACATCGCCACTGTGGCGCCTCCTTCGTCTGCTTGTATGACTAATTTATCATTTCTGTTTAATTTTCTACATATCTTGGTTACATTGTCCCTATGTGTGGGTTCTTGATATGCCAAGATTGTTGACATGATTTCCATTTCCAGCATTCTGTTCGATTTTCCAGGTAGCCTTTCAGAAGCATTTGCCACCTCCACTGAAATGTCTTTAATTGCCTTCCTTTCATTCCAAAGTGCAAAATTTAGTTCCTTCTGGAGGATCTTTGTAGCTTCCAGGTCAAGAGGGACGGAAGACAGATTCACTACTTTATCCTCATTTCTTATCTGGACTTGAAAACCATTCAGCCTGGTTTTTTAATATATTTACCACTCAAGTATGAGCTGGACATTTTTCGTAGCATATTTCAAGAACGAATACTAACAATACTAGACGATTTTTCGCCGGAACCGGAGCGTATGCTTAAAGTTGACAGTAAACTGAAGCAAAAAGATAAATTCTGAAACATCTTGTATTTAGATTTTACTACAGATCTCTTGATCAATAGCTTTAACACGAAATTAAATTCAACTTAATCATATGTATGCTCAAGTATACCTATTAATACTTTACTAAATAATATCGCTATAATGTACCACTAGTAATACTAGTTAAAGCATTTTTATTTGGGACGCTACTTACTTTGAAATCTATGGAAATCAAAGGAACCGTTGGAAGGTCAACTTTTATAAACCAAAAATAAAAAAGTCCAATTAGAAGTCCCAAAATGCTGTTTTACAATTGTGCTCATCGGCCATTCTCTTAAGGTAACAATTTTGTATCATAATTTCAGCCATGTAGTGTGATATTGGCTAGAAGTACAGTGGTGAATATGGTTAAGGTGAATGAGTGTAAAGAGAATATCTACGAAGAAAATTTGGGTTTCGAGGAATCTCTTGTTTCATAATTGTTGGGCTTACTTCCATTTCGAGTGGAAGTGT